CGTACCGGACAGTATAAGCGTGTCTTTAGAAAATGAATAAAACATGAGTCACAGCAATATAAAATGATAACTCCCTTCAATCGATGGACCATTCACAACAAAGAAAGTTTATACATCGGTCAGACTAGATGACGTGGTGAGCGCTTAACCAATCTGATTGGTTAGTTATGACATAGCTACAATTAGTCATAAAATAACTAACACCTGGTTTCCCAGATGGTTTGGGGTATTTTAGTCCTGATTGGAAAAAACTATTCAAATGGGTCAATACTAGCCAGATCGCAAAAAAGAGTGATCGCAAAGTCTCAAGGTCAAAAGCTAAAGACAGTTAACTAATTATTCTGACAGGAGATGGGTTTTACTTTGACACATTTTTAAGCAGTTGCTACTCTCGTAAATTCCCGTTCACATAGTGTCGAACCTTGCTTATTTGCTTACAGACGATCACTACATTTTCTGAGACCAAACACTGCCATGAAGACGGTCCACTTCTGAGGGTTCATTATTTCGAAAATTATTTTGGACATTATTACTTTACGGGAGAGACAAAGTGTCTCGGCAGGCGTGGTTGAATGTACTCATTGATCAATTCTTTGCGATCTAGCCCTCTTCATGTTTTTTGGTTTCAGAAACACTAATACAGCCTGTGAGTTGACACCTGAAAGAAAAGCGAGGCATGGAATCCTTACTTCACCAACCTACACGTTAAGTAGATTGCTAACGGTACAACATCAGATGGTCTTGTTAACTTGGCCATTATCTCAATAGATCTGATAATTATAGTGAAGACAGATACGGTAGGTCCCTTTCAATAGTAAAAAGTGGGAAAACTACATGCTATTAAAACCAGAAGAAATGTACTATGGAAGTATGTGGCAGCACTAGTCTTGATCTGAGTACTAAGTAAACAACATTTGTTATTCATCCTGAATGCTCGGATATCATATCTTAAACATACTGTAACAACTTTCAGTAAGGTCGCATCACTGTCCACAATTTCCAAGGTAGTACTTTTAAGAAATAAAAACTTTTGTGCCCGTGATCAGTGGCATGTTTGTAGGCTCATTTAATTTTCTAACATAAGTGTAGCTTAAAGTGCTGAATACATTGGAACAAAACTTTTGATGGTGGATTATCTCGTGCAGGATTTTCCGCTTCAGACAGAAGTTTGTGCTGATGATGTTGTTCAGAAGAACAATGAAAGCTCCACAACCGAAACAACCAGCACAGAGAACAAAACACCACCACATTTTAACCGTCGTATTCATGTCAACAGTACATTACTAAAGATCTAGCACGTCAATAAATCAGTTAATAGAAACCTAAACACAAAGTAGCAGGCAAATCGAGGCTGCAGATGTACAAACTTTGAAAGCCCTGGTGTCCAAAGATGATTATGTGGGATTCTATTTTGAGGCTGCGGTTTGCAAAAGCAATTAATATGTCATAACAAAATTGTGAAACCAATAGGGTATCATATCTTTTTCACGATCTAGTATAAACGGATTGATTATTTTGCTTGGAATGTTCTCCAAGCCGTGCGGATCACAGCCCTTTCAGTTGTAAGCTTGAAGAAGAGAATTGATAATCACGTACTCACATACGGATTATCATATTCCTCTCGGACAAGCTGTGCATGATACACATCTCGAGACCTGCTAGTTGTTATCATCGCCATCTCCTCATATCACTCAATTAATCTATTGTGTCTGTTTCCTCTCCCCTGCTTACACTTCAGCCTTCTATCACAATCTTCACTAGCAATTAATAAACTAAATTATCTATATATTACTTAGTTCTTAAATCTCATTCATATTAGAATTAGAATTTTATCCTTATTATTCTCCACATTGTAACTAACTGTTCTCCAGTCTGGTACTGTGATAGATGTCGGTATCCAGAAACCCTACCGCCCTGAAACAAACGTTTTCATTCAAATCACGAGACACAAACTCACAGCCAACTGACTAGAATTATACAGTCTCGTGGCTTGACCTCCATTCATTGGACACTAACAAACACTTGGAACCGTCCCGAAAGAGGAAGAATAGAGAGCGAAGTAATCAATTGATTTGTACTAACTAGATCGTAAAAAAGATATTAGATATTGAACAGTAGATGTCACGACACTTTCTTATCAACCTTGACAAAAATTTGATTTTGTAATCTGTAGCCTTGGCAACTGGATTAGGTAGAAACGACCTCTTATTTAAAAGCATCGTTTAGTTGTTTGGTTGTATCCATATCTTTCATTGGAAAATTAAAATTGGTTTGAAGCTAATCAAGCGAAGAATTTGTGAGTATTTCTTTAGGGTACTTACTCCAACGGCAACTCAAATAACTGTTCAATTCGCATACAACAATTCATATTTTTCATGAAACTTGAGCCTAAAAGACAGGTATGACTTGCATCTAAATAATTCATTTTTGTATTAAAAGACACCGAAAAAGCAGAAAAGAAGGAGCCAACAGGATGGTGACGAATTCGAGCCTGTTTTTCGTGATGAAGTAGATGAATATGGGGTCCGTACGACTCTAAAGCCTGAAGACCAACTTCAGTTGACTGAACAGGTTTATTGATTCGACAATTATATGTTTGTAGGAATTAAAGGAAGAGATTACTCGGGTTCTGACTGCCGCCAATCCTCATGCACCTCAAAACATTGTGAGGTATAACTTCAAAGTAAACACAAGTTTTCTCAGTCCAGTTAAAATATAGGAGGCCCAATATGTACAAGTACCTCAGGTGGATCAAATGGCTGTTCATTTTTGGCATGAAAGTTACGTGCTTTCTCTCGACTCGGATGAAGCTAGAAGACAAGTAGCCAGAGACGTTACTATGCCGGCTGAAGGTAACTCCACCCACTTTAACTAACTTACGAATTAGAATCACCATTAGAAGAAGAAGGCAAAGAGGTAATAATTTCTATCTTTGTTTTTACATCAACCTTAAAGATTGTTTCCGCTGTAAAGGAAAGTGATGCTCAGTTACCTCAAAAGAAACTCCCCAACCAATTCAACTTCTGTGAGCGATCAACCCAAACATACAATCTTCCTCAGAGAGTATGCTTGTTTAAATTTATCGGCTTTAGAATATAGGAAACATGACAGAGCCTCCTCCAAGGGCGAACTTTTCAGTCAACGTTACCCAGTGGGTGATTTATGATGACTACATTGAAGATTTTGAAAGGCAGCAGGAGAAAAATAAAGATAAGAAATCGGCAGGTGTGGGTCGTAAACAGGAGACCAAAACGAGCAAAAAAGTCATTACCGGAGACATACAGGTAACTACACCATATAACTTTAAAAACTAGAATATTCGAAACAAAAGATATCAAAAGTTTCTAAACTCCATTTTACTCCTACAGTAGCATATGTACTAAGAATCTCTGTAAGACGCTAAGATTTGCTTAACATGGCGCACGAATGAAACCTAAAAACTGCAAGATATTTTTCTGACAAATAGAAAGAGCATACATATAGCTATGCTATTACTTAGGGTTCTTCCGATCGACCAACTTATTTAAATCAAGTGAGGATAATAAATGCCAAAACAGTATGAATTCATTTTCAATACGCTGGTTCTCACCGGATATTTGAAACCTTATTCAGATTGAAGGATAACACAATATTTAACTGAAAACTTTGTTGACTTGAAGATATGTAAGTAGTAAACAGCTGATGAGAAAGGGGGAGAAATTGTTTTATTTATTGTTGTTCCCACTCTGTCAAATTATAACTAACATTAAGCTACTCATCTATGGTGTAGTGGAGATTTTATAATTAAGATCACTTTTATATGGCTCACGTTGGTCCAACAGCTTTTTGAATATTTTTACTGAAAATGAGCTAAAAATGTGGTGAAGTTTTACTAGTTATAACAGTTTTTTCGATCTAACATTCCTTTTTTAATCTTTTCATCATATATACACTAGCGCACTCGAATGTCTTTCTTGTATGCAGTGGAGGCAATCTGGTGCCTCATATAGGGTCAAATGAGGGATATTTTTCGTTTAATTATATTTTAATAGCAGCAGTACATACCTTTTTGCACTGCAGGTTTTCTCTCAGGGTCAGTAGTTTACCTTGAGTTGTACTGAACAATACAAACAACAGCTAAGAGAAGAAAGTGAGTAACATAGTACATGCACCAAAATATATTTAGTTTAAATAAAATATGTAGTTGAAAATTAGTGTCCACTATTATAAAGCCAAGATACTTAGAAAAAGAGAGGTAAGAGCCTATAACTTAGCCGATACGACAAACTTATGGAAGAAATTAGATGTAAATATTAGCAAGTTAACACTGAATTATCTCCTATCACACACATACAACGAATATTATAGCAAAAAACTAACATAAAATGTTTTTAATTATTCTAAAACCACAGTTGGGCCTCTTTTTATAAATTAAAGGTTTTGAGTTAGCGTTATCCTTGGAGACTGACAAGAATCTCAGAAGCATACATAAACATGTTATTTTAAAGTTCTTGAATCTGTTTAGTACTATTTTTTCAGGTATTTGATTTGGTCTTTGTCATCCAAAAGGCAAGAAATGTTAGTTTAATTAATTTCAGAACCATTTATTTTTATTGCCGATAAATTTTAGCGGTAACCAGGGTAAACATAATTTGTGGAAAGCTGTAACTTACTTCAAACTTCAAGAAAAATCACGTGATTTCAAACGAAAAGTTATAACTCTGCAATGAACAACGTAGAACTAGAACATCTTTTTTTTCCTAGACGTGACGTGATTTAAAATTATGTGACCAGCGAAGATTTGAATATGCGCTCTAAAACTTTTCAATGCTTTTTTTAAAAAATTTTATTTCAGGGAGATGAACTTAGTCGATTTGCACAACCCCTTAAAATTGTTGAACGGATGATCAATCAGAACACACATGATGAAGTTGCTCAGGATTTTAAGTACTATGAAGACCCATCGGACGAATTTAGAGACAGTCAGGGTACCTTATTACCCTTGTGGCTATTCTCTTTTGAAAAGGCAAGAAAACTTGCTGTGACATCACTATGCTGGTCACCTCAGTACGATGATCTATTTGCAGTTGGTTATGGGTCATGTAAGTCATATTTAAAAAAAACCAAAGCGTTGACATCACCCATATTTATGAGGTTGTAACTAAGAGACACAAATAAGAGGTCATCGTATTCATAAAGTTTAGGGAAAATTAACTCAATCAATTTTCTCATTATAAATTGTTCCAGAACAAGCCGATAAGGTGAAGTTTAAATAACGAATATGAACAAAATTTATCCTCCTACAGCGTTTTTAAAATAGTATCGTAGTTAGTATTAACGAACATAAGAAAACTTAGTCGTGTAACTAATTTTGCGAGATTAAGCAATAGAATTATTAACTGTCTGTTTTATTAGGTAATAATCAGTATAGGCAAAAGGTCAACGATACTACTTATTCAGAGAATATTTCGTGATTTCGTGAAATTAAAATTTCACAAAATTTATACTCTAAAAGTGAATTAATTTAACTGATCACTGCCAATAAATTTTTACTGACCACTAATTCTGTTCTTTTTTGATCAGTGCTTTTATTGACAAAATTGTTGTAATAAAGTAGTGAGAGTGGTTGTAAAAAGCTCATTCAAACACAGAAGTGTAAGAAAGTCATTGTTGTTTTAAAATGGATTCTTGAATGGGAAATTAGTCTTTTGTATACTCACTTTTATAAAAAAAAAAGCATTCTAGAAACAACTAATAGTAGTATTGAGATGATCAAGGCAGGCGCGGAAAACTGTATTATGCAAATTAACACTCTGAGTCAATTAAAAACGAAAACATTACATTGAACACTCTATGTGCACACCATCTTTGTGTCGTGACTTCCAACACTCCATCCTTTTTCCATTCCTGTTGTTGCTTCCTACCTTTCCTTCCTGTTGGTACTCCATTTACTTCTTGCTTTTGCTCCATTTGCTTTCCGTTTTCCTCTTCTGACCGTGAGACTTCTTCTTTCACGTCCCTTCTTATACTACTTATATCGTTCGTATAAGTAGCACACTACACTATGAATTCATGAACAATATTTATGGCGTATGGTCAATAAGTAATTTGATTCTGTCAAAAGAATTTATTCTTAAATTCAAACTATCAATGACTAATTCAGAATGTAATCTTTACTTCACACATTTTATTTTATTTTTTTTATCATTATTAGATGATTTTTTGAAACAGTCTAACGGTCTCATTTGTTTGTATACATTAAAAAATCCAAGTTACCCAGAATATCATTTTGAAACAGAATCGGGCGTACTTTCATTAGACTTACATTCATCATTATCGTATTTGCTTTGTGTTGGATTTTATGATGGAGCAGTTGGAGTTTATAGTATAATTCAAGACAAAAATGTACCATTATATTTAAGTACAGCAAAAACTGGTAAACATACAGATCCTGTATGGGAAGTTCGCTGGCAACCGAATGATTTAGATGCAAATTTAAATTTTTTCTCTATTAGTGCAGATGGGCGAGTTACATCATGGACACTAATTAAAGTAAGTTAAAGTAATTGATGTACTTGTGTTTTAAGTAAAGTATAATTTAAAGGCTATAAAATACTTTCAGTCTAAAAGTTTCATTTTTATTTCATTCTTCTCAATCGAAATTACGGGTAAATAAGTTGCAATGAATTATAATGAATACAATACTAAATGATTTAATCAGTGAATTCATATCATTAACTTAAATAGGAATATTACCAACAAAATACTTTGTATATATGAAAAAAAATAATTATATTTGGTTACTGAAAAGATTACATGTAATATAGATTAAGTGCTATCAACAGAAAAGACAGATATGACTGTTATTGTCAAGATTCTGTTTATATATGTTTTGATTTGTTCCCAACTAAATTTTCGACTGTGCGTAAACTTAACAGATGACAGTTGTTATTTTCATGATTTACCCCTTCAAACATAAATTATCGTTAGTTTCTACAAGATGAATCTTACCTTTTGCTAATGTTCTTAAACTTCAACTCATAATACTTAAACAAGTGGTGATCTTTCAAACGTAATCAGCATCTCAAAAAATATAAAAAATGATTGTTTTTATGAAGGAAAAATAGACCTCACTAAGCTGGTTAGTAATATATTTGTGCAATGTAACAAGGCTATTTAATATCTGCACTAAAATACCTATAGAAACAACTTTTGGACCAGATAATCACAAATGTATGATGCTCTTCAAGATACCTTAAGCTCTCATGACGGATTTCGAGAGATATCTCAAATTACCTATTATTAAAGTGTCCCACACAAGTACAAAAAATGGTTGCTTAGTTCTTGCTAGTTCTTTAGTGGTTATTACAAGCAGCAATGTAACTAATAAAAAACGCCGACGGCAATAGTCTAACAATATTCTGTAGAAACACAGTTGTAAAACCGACAGTACATAGTTTCAACTTCATCCTACGAACAATCAAAGTTAGTGTTTCCAGAAAAACATTCTAAAATATAAAGAACTAATCATTGTTATGGACAACTTTAATGGCAGCTTTCATGTTAAACACAGTAATTTTATTTTCTCTCAACCCCAATTATTCCAGTTTAAAAGATATATATCAAGAGATCAAAGACAACTAAACTTGAATCCCCTTTAGTTCATTTTTATACGATTAAGTTACAGTGACTGATTGAAGAGCTTAACTATAGGGAAATTTTCAGTTAAATGAGCAATCATAACGGATTAATTATTACGATGAAGTGCATTCAAGTTTAACAAAATGACTTCTTAAGAAATAAATCAATACACATGAAAATGCACTGAAAATCCATCGACAGAATTCACTAAAGATGGTGGAGAAAATTTGTAACTCAGGTAGTGTTTAGTTCTCTGAGCTGGCCATTTAAAATCAGTATATGCATTTTAAAATTGATTCCTTCGTGACAGTTGTATTTGAAGAGTTAGTATTCTAGACAGTTTCTCTCATGCTTGTGTGTGGATGATGAGAGTTGAGAGATTGTGTTACATATTTATGATAGATTGAGTTCATCCGCCTCCAAGTAATGACAATCGGATATGTTTAACACACCTTTTTTTATGATGTATATTGAGTAATCTGATTCGGTAAATTAATCCTAGTTTTGAATTTAGAACGATTTCTGAGTAGTACACACAGATAAATGAAATACCTGCTTACTGAAATAATCTCAATCTCTTATGATAAACTTGCTTGGTCTTTCTGAAAAAGTTTTCATCTTTCTTGGTTGTTCCCTATTGCTTTTTGCGTTGGTTTTTAATTCTAGAATGACATGGGTAAATTTGATGCAGTGATACTAAAGATGATAGCAAATTCTAAAGAAAATATTGAACGATCTCGAACGATCACGTTAGGTGAGTTAAAATACGAGATGCACTTAAATATTCTGTATTTCTAATTTTACTACTTACATATATGTAAGTAGCCAGACGTTAAAAGGAAAAGAATTAGCAACCATCTGATTTGATAGTATTTGGACATTTTAGGAGATGCATTTTATAAATAAGTATATCAGTAAAAAATATCAGTATTTTACACATTTAACCTGATAAAATCTTGCAGAGAATACTGAAAAACTCCCCTAGGGCGTAATGAAACCTTCAGCAGGTGTATACCATACACATATCAGGTATTCGATTGCATTAGTCTTCTAGACATTTGTTAAACTTACTGTATAAGTAGGTAGCCGATCAACTTTACAAACCGATGTATTAAATTAACTCAAGTCATTCTATACCTAACAAGAAAGCGATACGCAGACAAGACATTTTATTGCAATTGGTTCCCTTTACGAATTCGAACAAAGCTGAAACAACAAATGAAGTAAAAGAATATGAAAAAGCTGTTTCGAAGCTAACAAATACTGTTGAATATTTTCTAAAGCACCACAGAAAAAAACTACTTTAAAATTATAGATTCTTAAGCTTATTTAGTTATGGGTTGGTTCAATTGATACGTTTTAGAACTAGAAGATCATTATGAAAAGAAGTAAGATTTATAGAAATAATTTAAGTTCGCTTTTTAAAATACATATATTATAATATGACTAATTGAGTTCTCTTGCTGATGTAATGTATATTTTTGACTAGTTTATCAATCTTATTGCTCAGGCAAAAGGTCAAACGATGACTAAAAGTTGATATTGATGAAACGTTTCCGATTTTTAAGCCTTTTAAATAAATACAAGTTGATATAACCGTGAAAACTGAAATTTACAATTATTTTAAGCAATATTGTAACCAGTTGTCTAGTTAGCTGATTAGCCAATTCAAAAACTAATCAGCTAATCAGTCATTCAATCAATCATTCAAAATTCTTCACGTGTAGTTAACTTCAGGAATGTCGTTTATCTGGTTAAAGTGAACATATACATGCACAATAAGTTATACGATTCTCGTACGTGCAGTGCAATAGACAAACATCAATAGTTCTAGCACAGATATAAGCATTTATTTAAATTACTTTATTTTGTTCTAGTGGAGCTAGGAGAAAATAACGAAAACGAAAGATAAGATTTTAAAAACAGTATTACTATCACTAGCATAAAGGTAGAAAACAGTAAACAAGTTAGGTGGTTATAGGGCTGAAAAAGTATAATCACTCACATAGATTAAGAGTTTTGATAGAGATGTAATTAAACACTAGTCAGGACTAAAATAGTACATTTGCAATGAGGGATTGCTTGAGTAGCGAAACTTCTTAACATTTTTACCATAAGCATCCAGAAAGGAAGTTTTAATACAGCTGCTGTGAAACTTCTACACTCCACACAAATAATTGAGTCCAGAGCCTAGAAATTCACACACTTAGTGGCGGATTCTCAACGATACAATATTTTAAAATCATTACCCATGATCTTCATTATCATTGGAGTTATATTTGAATAAAATTTCGCAATAAAAGTCAATAAGGTAATTTTTTAAGAACATTTTGAACTTTAACGATCATATCTCGTGTTACTTTATTGTCTATTCTGTTTCATTAACAGATTGTGGTACAGCATTTGATTTTCATCGTACACAGAATCATATATTCCTTGTAGCAACAGAAGAAGGAATGGTGTTTAAATGTAGCAAAGCATATACATCTCAATATTTAGCCACTTATGAAGCTCATCATATGGCTGTTTATCGTGTGGCTTGGAATTGTTTTCATCCTGATATATTTATTACATGTTCAGCCGATTGGACAGTTAAAATATGGGATCATTCAAAGAGGTAACTCAAACATTTCTTATTTGAAAGTTTATTTTTAAAAAAAAGTGATCTAGTTAAGTCTTATTTTGCATTACGGGGTTGTGAAGATTGTTAAGTTACACATTTGTGAAACCATGAATCGATCAATGTTAGACCACCATTAGAAACCTTATTTTTTAGTTTTGTGACCACCCGTAAGTATTCACTAACAAGTACTTCTGGCATTCAATCCGGAACAATTACATTTTTTGATCAGTTGTTTTTAATATAGAATTGAAATGCTGACATTTATCCACATTAGTCAACTAAGTATTATACTAATTAGGCAGAAGTAACCTGAACATATTTGAATAAGCATGTTTATAAAAATACATATTTTTGTGCGGTGTGAACTTTATATCGAGCCAACATGGCTTGTCCTAGCTTTTAGATAATTCAATTAATCCATTCTTCTCGATTTATTCACGTCTTAAAACTTTGTTCATTATCTGCTTATGACCTTTGTTGTTATTACTTGAGTACGCATGTGTATTGCTTGCTTATCTTATCACGTGTCTAGCTTATTTCTGTCTAACTAAATACCAAGTCATGCCTCATCGTATGCAGTTGACCCACTCTTTTTTCCGCCTCACTTTGCTTCACTTCACCTATACGCTTCATATCTTATTTTCTGTCTGCTTACACAAATACGTGGAACTAATTCATCCAAAATAAACCGTAATGGTCTCTTAATTACCGCTGTCACACAAATGAAGTCCGCCTAGGAATGATATGCGGAAATTAGAGAAAAGATTTATTTCGCAAAATATTCAGTCATCCTTCCAAATTGTAATAAAATCGCGGGTCACCGAAACAGTAATCTTCCCATGAAGAATGCAAATGAGTTACATTTTCCCTACAATAAATATTAGAAATTATCACCAGATGAAGAATAAAGTGATTAGTAACTATAGGCTCCTGTTTATGTATTACTGTTGTATATTGTCTGATTAAATGGAAGTTACTGAATAACTAAGTTATTACAAAAATATATTCCCTGTATCCTGAGCTCTTTTAAATAACTCATTAGTTATAGTGTAGTGAACGAGATCACAGGTGGGGCAACCGAATTGTATTTAACGAAAATTGCAGAGTTACTCAATAAAATGGGAAAACCATATCGTAAATCGTTCATTTGCAAAATAACAGTTCATCATATCGAACTGGACTGTTCCTGTTGCAAAACATCAATCCATTGTCACTATCCATGCGTTTCATACAAATTCCATTGTTTTCTAACTCTTCCTTTCTTGATCTCTCCTCATCTTCCGCTGCCAGACATTACGTTGACACTAACGTCATATACTACTTATAAGTAGCTCACACCACAATAGTTGTCTGATTTATTATTTCTAATCTGTTACAATCTATCATTCATGACCTCCATTAGGCATAGCCACTTTTTGGTTCACTCATGTATAGCTGTCCATTTCCACTTACTGCTGGCTGACTGTGTGTGTATATAATGAAATTTCTGAGGTATAATCACGAGAAAAATCCTGGACTGGTAGTAACTGGTTCTTTTTCTTCCCCTTCGACTGAGACAAGTCACTATCGAGCCAGCGTTCGAGCATAGAGTAGTTAAATCTTCCGAGCTAGTTGCAAATTGTTTACTAAAACGTCATCTGCAGAATGGTTCATGAAAGTACATAACTTATTACCGCTCTTCACAGGTTTAGTGCACTATGTTCATTTTGTTTCTCAACGTACTAACCAGACCAACAGAACTCCAGTTAAATAATCGTATTTTCTTCGCCATTTTATTTACAATATTGGAAATGGTGGGTCAGACGTGGAAGTCGTCTACACCACTCGGCACAATTTAGTTCAATATTCATCATTTTAGTTCAAGTTTGGCTATCTCTAGTTTTATTTCAATCTTCTGTTATGATAGCTCTCATCAGATCCTCGCCTAGGTAGTTATCGGCTAAACATGAGTGGTATCTGTTTCAACCATCTAAGAAAATATAAAATAACGATAATTAACAAATCCACAGAAAACAAACATTTTAGATTACATAAAAATATCAAAGAATAAATGTTGAATTAACTATGACTTGAAAAAAACTAGATGAACAACATGAATATCTTTTTTCAATAAACAAACAATCTTATGGTTGTAAGTTTCTGTCATAGTTTTTTTTAGTTCATTGATTGAATAAGAAGTGATCAGTTAAGTTTTTGCAATTTTACTATTACTATTTTTTCACTCGAGAAATTCCGATGTTATGCAATAATTAGATTGTTAGCAATGCAAGTATATATATATGTAATTGTGCAGATTAATGTCAAATGAGAGTTATTATAAGTTACGAAATCAATGCTTGCGCACTATTTGGCAATTTCTACATTGGTAAGAAAGTAACTAAAGAATATTGAATTAAAATTTAATTAGTAGTGTCCTGTTGTTATTATTTTGGCTGATAGACTCGTCAAACTGTGGATGCACCTGCATACCATAGTTTATGTTCAATGCTTGCTCACTATTTAGCAATTTCTACATTGATAAAAGAAGGTAACTAAAGAATATTGAATTAAAATTTAATTAGTAGTGTCCTGTTGTTATTATTTTGGCTGATAGACTCGTCAAACTGTGGATGTACCTGCATACCATAGTTTATGTTCACTTTGACGCTTGAAACTATTAGCGTTCTCTTCAAACGCCTACGCATTATCCCTTGAACAATGAAGCACCTGCATTGCTAGCCTATATTTCATCTATTCTCTATTGATTAAATTACAATGTTAGTATTGTTGAAATTTAAACTTGCTCTTGGATTCGAGTTGTTGTTGTTGTTATCATTGCCAGTTAAACCTAACACATGCATAATAGGTCCAAATATTATTAAATAAGTCATTAAAATTGAATGGTCACTTGATATTTTGTTAATGTTAATGTGACACGATTTTCTGGATAAATATTAACCATCAAAAAAGCTTTTAGTGCAACCATCTGAATGTAGTTTAATTGTTTGTGTTGTAGTAATTGTACTTGCACTAATTTGAATATGGATGTTATCAGTTAATAGAATAGACCAAGGAATATAACAACTCCAAAATCATCTTATTATGTCCGGAATTTTTTCTGTCGATATCTATCACAGTAAGTTCATGTTAGTCCAATGAAGACTGGTAAATGCAAAACATGAAATATATAAGGGATGGATTAATTTGTCCTATATAAGCATAAAAGTAGCCATGGCATCACATTTAATTTATAGAATAACGCATATAAATGAACACTACAGTTTTCAATTAGCTCTTTATTAGGCTTCACTTACTGAACCAGTCAAGGATACGTTGCTTGAATTCGCCTCCTCAATGTGCATTTTCAAATTTCATCCGTTCCTGTGTAGATAGCAGCTATGTTGGGCGTACTACCAAGCAACTTATCCAACTAATTCACGAACATTTCCCAGCACGGTTCCTAAAGGGCCCGACAAGCACATTATGTAGCTCTATCGTGGCACACCTGACTGACACTGGTCACATAGTAGATAAAACCGAATCATTTCAAGTGATTCGTCCTACATCTTCGTCATCTCCCAATCGGGTTTGATTCCGTCTACTACTCGTAGTAGACACTATGAAAATCCGTACCTACAATCGCAAATAATGTGTTCAGAAGAAATTCATGACACCCATGTCCCTTGTTAACTCTCTTAGAACTTAATATACTACTTGATTTCATCATTATTATTTCCACATCCTGTATTGATTCGATACTTTTCACCTCTCTCGGTTTATATTGTTCACCGCTTAACTATGTACGCATTTACCATTATAATGGTCCATAGAAAGTTATCTGATTGTGATTTTAGATCTATTTATCTACATTTGACCTACTGCTTTTCATGTTGAACTGTTGACAAGAACTTTTGTTATAAACTTATTCTTACTAATACTAACACACCACCAGTCTTTTCTCTTATCAGCTTGTACTTTTACGTACTATGTGTAAAAATGTAATCTCTTTGATTGCGATTGTTGACTCATAAATTGCCTTGATTGGTTTAATATTTTCACAAATGTATGTATATTGGAGTATAGCCTCATGACAATCTAACTGAAAACAATATTGTTCTTGCCTTATTTTTTTGATACAACAGTGAGAAGACGTAATTGATCTGAAAAATGTGATGTATTCGCGATATATATTTCGATAAATCTGGTCACATTTATACTTGTCAAGGTCAATGAAATAAAAGTTCAAATAGGCATAAGGTGATAATTGTAAGTAAATGAGAGAGAAAATTAACGTAATGTGAAAAGAATAAGAAAGGATAGGAAATTGTCACATTACCCTAGGCTTAAAGATTACCAGGGTAAATTCAAGGTTACAAAATATTACACATTTTTTTGAAACCATGAATCGATCAATGTTAGACCACCATTAGAAACCTGGAAGCACTGGACGGCCGTTTCGTCGTGGTATGGGACTCCTCAGCAGTGTGCATCCACGACTCCTGCACCCCGCAGGATTCAAACAGATTATTTCTGTACACATAAGGGGGATTTTAATTTTCGAACATCCAAGGCCTCAAAATTCGTCCTTCAACATTTCTGTACAGTGTTTTGCGGTCGATGAACATGGTTTTCTATTTCCAACGCTAATCGGCTCATCTGACATTAACTGATTTTGAAGCGCCTTAGATACATGTTGCATAACCCTTGATTGTAAGGTCCGATTACTCCTCCCTATATATGTGTGTCTACACAAACATTTAACTCGTTAAATGCAGTGGGATGTGATGTGATCATTCGAGCCACGTTTAGGTCTATGTGGAATTATGGGCTTAGTCTTTTCAATTATAATCAGTTTAGCAGTGTAGCATGTTTTCTCTATGGCTGCTTTTAGTCGGTGTCTTAAGATTAGACCATTTATTTCACCTCTAAATGGTCAAGATATATAAACCTTTTTCTTCTCAACATAATGAAAAACAGGCTTTTGTTTTATTTGATTCCTACACATGCTGATGAACTTTAGCGGATAGCCGTTTGAAATCAGTGTTTCAGATCCGTGATGTAAATCCTTTGAGCTCTATTGAACAGGCGTTTTGCCAAACCTCTCTTGTGTTGCAGTGGACAAAAACTACTGAAATTTAAATACTGTCCAGTCCTTTTTGGTTTTCTATAAACCGAATGCTTTAAAGCTCAATTCTCCCTTAGATTCAACAGTATGTCTAAAAAAGGACAATTGGTAATAAGTTTTCTGTTTCATGGTTTAGGACAATGTCGTTCTGAAGACTATTGAAGTTATTCAGTAACTGAGAGATGTTGAGTTCTTTATCGCATATAACTAAAATATCATCCATATATCTCCTGTATAGACAGAGTAAGCTTATTGGTGGATTCATTCCACAAATTTTCAGCATATGCCATAGAAATATCAGCTAAGAGAGGTCCCAAAGGACTACCCATACCAACACCATCAACTTACAGGAAATGTTCATCTTCAAACGTGAAATGAACTTTTTCAGTACATCAATTACGTCTTCTCACTGTTCTATTAAAATTTATAAAAAGGACTACTAATTGTTTTATATTTTAATTTTGTCAATTATAATTTAAGCATATTGTGTGTTTTATAGTCAGAAGTACCATATCACTGTAATTACTGGAATGTTATTTGAAGTTATAAAGTGATGTGAAACTTTTGAAAATTTTTATAAATGAAAAGATTCTTTTAATTGAGAAGTTTTGCGATGGTAATATAGATCTGTGTTACTGGGAGAAAAGCTTTTTCATCTCTGCATTATGCAAGCCAAGAACTATTCTGTTTATTATGTTTAACTAATTGAACAGTCACTTTATCAGATATTTCAGATTATTCAAAGACCGAATTGTATGATACTATTTTTATAAACCTACGGTTATAAGTACTGTCAGAATTTCATATTAAAGCTACTGTTTTCAGTTTAAGTCAGTGACAATTAGATATTCATATAATACTACTGTCTATGACATCAGAGTCAGTGAAACACATACTAATTGGAATCAATTATAATTTATTCTCAATGATAACTTCACTATCGGTTGTGAACCATGTAAAAACAACTGAGTGTGTACAATTCTGTTCTATATCTAGTACCACTGCTTGCTTATCGAAATTATCTGTTGGATAGAAACATAATTTGTGTGATAGTGAGAAAGAGAGGTCTCATTAAGCTGTAAAACTAGTTAGTAATATAGGATTTAATGTACTGCTTTCATTTTAGCCTCCATCCAAATAGCTTTTATACTGAAAATAGTTTGAAGATACATGAAATGGTTTTGAAACAATACAGAGGTGGTTGGATATAATCTATGTAGATCATGTAATATAGAACTCTGAATTCTTCTAGTAATGGCACACAGTCCAACAGAGTTGTTAAATAAAGAACTGAGGTTTATGCTTCTCTTTGTTGTCATGAATGAAAATAACAGGTATTCAAAGGTTTTGTAATGCATTTCCTAAGAATGGATCTTAATGTAAAGCTAATCATATCATACCAATTACTTTAAAAATAACCAGTATGAATAAGACTAAATTGTAAGATAGTATAGTTCATCACGTAGTGGAGATTTGAATACAGACTTTTGCAAAACAAAACATGTGGAAAATAGGCATATTATTTTGGTGTTATTGTTCATCATAAGAATATTTTTAATTAAAGGGTACTGATCTATATTATAATCCGATTAAATTCCACTACGTGCTTCAAACTAATACTATTTCCTACAGTAATCGACTGTTAGATATAAAACTGCATGAGGTTATTGAAGAAGAGTTTGATGAAATTATTACTGTTGTGGACCCGCGAATTTCATTCTACCCGATTTATTAACATCTTTAATTAGGAAAGAGCTTTGCAAGTGAATAAATTTGAATGTATTTAAAAATAGATATGATTCAAACATAATAGTGATTGTTTGACCTTACCAGTTATTCCAAATTTCTGTAAACAAGGAAAGTGAGCTTGCATTGTAGTTGATTGGGTTGTGAATAAAAACTTGACAAGATGACATACTACTGCAAAGCGGTCACTCATCATTTTTGTCCTAACCGGTTAATAAAATCTAACAAAATTGTCAAAGCGGGTCTGACATTTTCCTGTCTCGCTGTTCATGGTTGATATAATGCTCTGATAAAGACTGCTGAAGTTTATAATATCGATAAGGTGAAAAGGTAAAGCACTATAAACATAGTTCTACTAGATTTAAAAAAAACCCACTAAATATGTAAGTCTGAAATCGAGACAGTTCAATAAATGAATAATAGTTTAAAGTAAAGTCCTCAAAATCTAGAACAAAAATTGTCATATACTAATTTCTGTAATACGATTTTTATTAACCGTTAAACTATCAAACAGATGGTTCAGTCAACCGGTTCATACTATTTAACCGATGTAACAAATGTCGATTTAATCCAATCTAATTTCTTCTTACCGATGTACCAGAACTTTGTATGCTTGACCATTAGCAGTGTGTTACTTTGTTATTTGAATTGTATATAAAACTGCATCTGTTTGAAGAAAATAACTTAAAGTTATCTAAAAGTATTTAGACTATTAGTAGCATAAATAATAGTAACCAGAAATATGAAAAGTGGGTGATTTAGACATGTAACTCGTAAATACATAGTCCAACTGACTATGAAACATTTAAAGTTGGGAGTTTTGCAGAAACAACACTTCCCCAATCATTGATGCTTAGTAAGACTTAGAGAACATATGTTTATACTGTTGACAGTGATGTTCCGTTTCATGAAATTAAAATATAATTTAATGTGTGAAAATTTTAATCACTGCTAAAAAATAGTTTCTTTTTTTTCCTGTTCTCTTTTATCCCCTTTCCTTCCTTTCATTTATTTCACGATCACACACATAAACCCACATACGCAAACACACAGTACTCCAATGTTTACATTCGATTTAGGTTCACCAGTTGGTGATGTTGCATGGGCACCATATTCATCTACTGTATTTGCAGCAGTCACAGCTGATGGTCGTGTTCATGTTTATGATATATCAATTAACAAATATGAACCTTTATGCAATCAATTAGTAGTAACAAGAAAGAATACAAAATTAACGCATATTGCATTTAATCCAAAACATTGTATCATTATTGTAGGTGATGATCAGTAAGTGATAATTTGTTTTACTGTTTAATAAAATCGCTTTATCTACAGTTTATATATATATATATATATATATATATATATATATATATATATGATAATAATTTCTAAAATTGTAAGATGTACCCCGTATAATTTAATTTGAAAAATAATCATTACTATACTGACTAGTCAGTGTTATTAACCAGGCTGCTTTTTTTTGTAAGTTCTCAATAAAGATTAACTTCTGCTATGATTGACCACAGCAGAATTCAATCAGCACTACGTACGAATCAAACAAATGTGATTGATATTAGTTACTTATGTGAACCGGTGAATTTCAAGCAATAAACTGAATGACCCTAAATATTTTATTATAAACATATAGTAAAGAATTTTAACCTAGAAGTATACAGAGACTTTAATAAAATACGAGTTCAAACGTTATCGGATTAATCATTGACAAGGTGAATGAGTAAGTAACATACTACGATTATAATTACACTAATTTTTAATGGTTCACGAGTTCATCGAATTTTCAAGTGATTGATGAAAACACACTTATTATACCGCTATTATTTTATATTAAGATGCTGAAATCTTTAATATCTTTATTTGTATACACATAGATAACAATTACATTCATGGGAAAGTGTCAATTTTCTCATCAAATTTGATGCATTCATTATGCTTTTCTCTTTTGATTTAGTGGTCAAGTGAATAGTTTGAAGTTATCACCGAATTTACGCAAATTTCCTAAGGTAAATTTACAAAAGGAAAAATTGTAATCTTGATTATTTCATATTGTTATATACAACAACATTTAGAATTATTTTTGGTCAACTTATTTTACACCTAATTCCAATCAAAGGTGACTTTCGATAAGTTAATCATAAAGAATGTCATAAGTGTTAGATGATTATCTCATCAATTTTCAAAGTTTCTCAGCTATTTTCTTTTTTATTTTTGTTTAACTTCAAAACGAAATATTTCTAATCTCTAGATCTACTGGCTGACACATCGAATTATTTCTGAAGTTAATCATATATTTGCTGGAGTTGTTGCAACCTATAAACTAAATGAACTGCTTGTTCTACTGTAAAACATCGCCACCAAATACTTCATAGGGAAGTGAGGTATTAGAATTTCTGCACAACTGACTGACTAACAGCTTGTTTTGTTGGCCATAAATATGGTCATTGGTTGTGTTTGTTTTCTCTCATGACCTTGTAGTTGTCAAACTTTCTTTCTCATTCGCTGAGCAGTTTGATCGATGTAAATTGACGCTTGATCAAAATACTAGGCTTCTGAAAATTCTCTAGTTTTCTTTGTCCCTTGTGTTCAATATTTTGATATTTTCATATATATCTACTTCTCCACATTTGTCCACATGCACTGATATGAGTGAAGCTATAACGTGTTCTATAACAACTTACTACTGTTCATGTTGACACAGAGTGAAGGGATAACTACTTTGTCCCGTTCAGTGTTTGTTAAAATTGTTCAAATTTACTTTGTAGATGATGTTTAGCTTGTTATGGTTTGTTATCGTACCCTTCGTTCAGCATAAACTTCTTTGCGGTGATTTTGTTAACTGGTGGGTTACACATATTCCTAGTGGTCTTATTAATATGTTCGTGTGAGGTATGAACTATCCGTTTATCGAACTTCCATGTTCATCAAGTGCAAATTAGGTAATCGGTTTAATAAGCATTCTTAGATGAAATTTTGTAAGTATTTTCTTTCATTTTTCCGTAAAACGGTGGTGCTGCTATATCACTTCACTCTTTTAAACAGTCTTTGTATACAACCCATTTTATGATCTATAAGGCTGTCACTGTATTCGATTGAAACAGGGATTGGAGAGAAAACAATCAGAAACAAACATATAAGCAGTGACTACATCATCTATGGATAACAGTCAACCAATTTCAAGGTCAAAAAACAAGCTATCAGTTAACTGTGCAGAAATTCTAATAGCTCACTTCTTCTCGAAGTAGGTGTTGGTAATCTTTTTAAGGAGAAAAATGATTTTCACAACCAATTCATCACAACGAACCTTAACTAAAGCTACATATTTTCAGCATCATCTAATGATTACATCGTAACATTTTATGAATTGTGTTCAAGCTTCTTACTTATATTTTATCCATTTGAAATCATCAATCAATCATTGTTAGACCACTATTAGAAACCTGGAAGCACTGGATGGCCGTTTCGTGCTGGTATGGGACTCATCAGCAGTGCGCATCCACGACTCCTACTCCTCGCAGGATTCGAACCCGGGACCTTTGGCATTGTAGGCGAACGCCTAACCATCGGACCACTGGGCCGGCATCCAACGGTGTTAATGTCTAACTCTGATTGATCTAGGGATTTTGCGCGACCTCACCCATTTGTCTTTGGTAGTTACTGCCTACACCCGACAGGGTTGAACTCCATTGGTCACGTCTTCTCAACTAGAACTCCGAGAATTTCCTCACGAAGCTAGTCACTAATGAGCACTGTTACGATATTTTGCGGCACTGTGCCCCCCCAAAAATTATATTTTATCATCTAGAGAACCTTATTCCTCTTATATAAATTAAACTAATCATCACTTGCAAAACCACAAACAGTATTGATCTTGAAGTTAATACTATTATACTGTAATAATACAAAGCCATGCAATAATGTAAGTTTAAAAGGTGAATTCAATTCTAGAATTAAATACTTCAAAAACTAATGTGATAATTGGTAAATCCACAAGAAATCAACGTTTTATAGTGAGAAAAATTTTTTTCACAATTAATATCCAGCTTCTGAGTTCATTGGTATGATCAATTAATTAAACAACAAGAGAAAATACATAGAACAGAATATCTACTTTATTCGAGGAGATTGTCTGCAATATAAACATTCGGATTGGTAAACTCAGTCGCCCAGTGCTCTTCCACGTCTATTCATATGTTTAGCTTTGATAAAGTCTACACGTTAAGCTTTGCAGTACCTTATGCGTACATGCAAAAATGCACAAAGAAATGTGATGTGAGCATCAAGAGCAATCACTCTATAAAACATTTCAAAGTTATGCACCGAGTTGATCAAGGCTGAAAATGAGAAATTATATAATTTGTAAACAGATTCTGACAACTAACCTAATGACTATGATTAGTAGTAGTGGCTGAATAGTCTCAACAACTATGCCATTAATTTAATTTGATAAAGGTTTGTAACATTAAAAACTTAGGTAGTTGTAATCTGCAATATCACGTATATATATATATATATTTATATATATATATATATGTATATATATGTATATATATATATATATATATATATATATATATATATTCTTTCTTAAACATTTCAATAATTTGATATGAAGGAAGGAAATGAAAATTTTAATTACATGTACAAATAGATATATGTGTGTAGTACCATACTGATTGGTAACTGAAAAAAAAATAAAACAAACAGGTTTGTGATTTGTAAAAACTGGCGCATTATAATTCAGTTTAGATTTAAATGGTGCTGAATTGTGAACACAGTAATTCAATCAAAAAAAAATAAATAAATAAAAATAAACAGATAATTAAAAACATTAGTTTATTATAAATTAATAATGCTAGTTGATTTCAGTCAACCTAGACTCTATTTAGTTTAAACTTAGTCATCAAATGATTTTAACAATTATTTATTTGTAGCTCCTAGTTTACTCAGGAATAAGGTCATAGCCATATTGTAAATTAGAACAACACATATTAATGAATAATCTTGTTTTCATTCAGATGATAATAGATAATGCCTATATATGGAGATTCAATTTAAAACAACATTGTTAAAACAACACATATAAGCGAACAATAGTATTGTTTTCGATTAGATTGTCATTAAGCTTTACTCTAATATACATGAATATTGATATGAAAATGTTTAACCAATCAAGGCAATTTATGAGTCATTAATCACAATGAGATGAAATAGATTACGTCATAACTACACTTAATAGACAAAAGTACAAGTGGATAGTAGGAAGACAGGTGTACCTGATAGTAGTAAATAAATATTCATGTATATTAGAGTAAAGCCTGATGACGATTTAATCGAAAACAATATTGTTCCGCTTATACGTGTTGTTCTAATTTTAAAAACAACACTATTGTTGACTTATTTATATGAGTAGCTCTGAAAGAAAATTATACAAATCAAACAAACTAACTTTTAAGTGATTCAAAAAAGAACAAACAAATAGAGTAGTGAAAACCAATGCTCATTCATTACACTGAAAATATTGTACATTTTGTACAACATTTCATCAAGAAATCTACAACTAGAAATAATAATGTACTTGGATGTTTCTAGTTTTATTTAACTTTGTTTCAAAAATAACTCGGCCTGTAGACCCTTCGGGGCTACTGCCGGTCCCAAGCCCGAATAAAGGAGGGGGGGTTGGGCATGGGGTTGGCGCCCGCGTCCCAACTAGAAACTCACTTGCCAAAAAACGCTAACCAGGAGAAATAATTCCAAAAATAACTACATATCAAAACTTTTGGATGATATATACAATATTTAATTGAAAGTACAAGATGCTCTTGATAGGTAAATCTGGTGAGCAGTGGATTGAAAGTATAGTAGTAAGTTAATAAACAGTAGACAACTGCTCCGATTTATTAATGGAACCGGTATTAGGAATCCGACTGTAAGTGAGACTATTTCGGAATAGAGTGGTTTTATTATTCATTCTCAATCCAGGAGATTGGATCGATGGGCAGAACACTTTAGCAATCAGATCAACTGGCCTTCAGTTGCCAACGCTAACATGAATAGCAAGTTGATGTCAGTCGTCTAAATCTTAATTAGTTTGAAAAGGCAGCTAACCGAAGAATGAGTTTACTTTACAGCAGTTTTCTCCGTTCTAGTTTGCCTGTGTGAAACACGGCCACTAAGAACAAAAGATATTTGTAAGTTACTAGTAATGGCATTGTAAAGGCTATAGGCAATCTAAGGCGAAGTAGAACTGCAGGTCTTGATTTTTTTTCAAGGATGGTAGTCCAGCAGCCAGACTGTCTGAGACCAGTAGGATCTGGAGACTGGATGTAGTCCTATCTAACTGGTCTCAATCACAGATTGTCCCAGATTATTAAAAGGACAAAATTCCTCTCACCACAGTCACAGATGAATCAGTTTAACTAATGCAGTGTCTAAAATATGATCTTAAATAACTCTTCAACGCCTAACTGGGAAGCGTGAAGAGTAGACTATAGAAATCTAAGGTGGTTTCATATCTGTCTTTTACCAACTTGCGTTATATACGGAGCAGACGAGATATCCGTTCGCTGACCTAGGGACGGGTTTACAGCGCAGCAGTTCGTTCCGTCCTACTTTATGGGTGTGAAACATCGCCACTACGAGTAATGAGTATTCGTAGGCTATTAGTATTAGATCATCGGTGTCTTCGAAGCATTGCTCGAATATCCTGGGACCATCGAGAAAGCAATGCAGTTGTTAGGAAACCAGTACTAAATAAAGATGGCAAATCGATTGATGAAGTAGTGAATCTTCATCGATGGAGATGGTTGGGACATGTGCTACGTATGATTTACTGCCACGTCGAGGTATGTTTTGCGATGTAAGAATAGGTTGGAAGAAAGATAGGGACGGCCTTACCAAAACATGGCGGAAAAAGTCACTGTCAAGTGGACTGAGCCATGTGGGTAGGTGTAGACTACCTGGTTGGAGTCCGTGAGACAATCATATCTGATGGATAGAGACCTTTTGCTCAAAATCTTTTGCAATGGTGCAGATGCGTCAATGCTGAGTTATACCAAATTCTAATCTTCTGAATTCCTTACGACATTTTTCTTCCCTTTTAATATTTATTTCGCCGGGATATTCTACGCGAATGATATCTTCGATCCCTAAACTTTTCGTTTACAGCTAACACTTTACCTACAACTATCATACTTTGCAATTCGGTTTGGGAACTCTAACTGATGTACTTAGTATCAAGTTCTACTTTGTAGCTTCCTGAAAGATTTAAGTACGTGGTTTTTGATTGGTCGAGTTTTCTTCCACGACTTTACGTCTGCATCGGGTCCACACTGATTGTCAATGATGCTGCCTAAATATGTAAAGGTTTTTACGTTCTTCAAGGCATCCCACCAAGAGTGATTAGGTTGATGCATGTTGTGTTGTATCGAAGAATCTTGCTTTTCCCTTTATTCATGTGGAGACCTGCTGCTGCTGAAACTGCTGCTACACTGGTCTTCTTCTCTTGCATTTGTTGTTACGTGTTCGATAGAAGAGCCAGACCATCTGCGAAGTCCATTTCGTCCAACTGCATCGTGGCTGTCCACTGTTTACCGTGCTTCTCGCCAGATGTTGACGTCTTAGTAATCCAGTCGATCACCAAGAGAAAGAGAAAAGGTGAGAGTAAGCAACCTTGCCTGACACCGGTCTTCATCTCGAACGATTCTAGAATTGTCCTCTGTGCATGATTTTGCATTTTAATCCATCGTAAGAATTCCGTGTAATGTTGACTATCTTCTCAGTCACGTCGTAGTGTCGAAAAAGCCTCCATAGTGTTGTCCTATCCACGATATCAAAAGTTTTTTCGTAGTCAATGAAGATGATGTAGAATGGGAATTCCACTCAATCGATTGTTCCACAATGATCCGTAATGTTGCAATTTGGTCGGTACACAGTTGATCCTTACGAAATCCAGCCTGTTGATCTCTGTTTAACAACACCCTGTTGAAGACTTTTCCTGGTATTGAGAGAGGAGTAATGCACCTGTAGTTCTTACACTTGCTGAGATTGCCTTTCTTTGGTATATTGATCAAGGGTCCTTCTTTCCAATCTGTTGGTACTCGTTCATCTCAAATATTTTGCAGTTGTTGCCACGTCTGCTTTCATTGCCTCATGGAATATTATCTGGTCCCGCTGCTTTGCCGATATTGATTAAATTTATATTTGTGATACAAAATAAAGACATAATGATACAATGTAAATCATCAGCTGTTTTACAAAAAACATTTTATACGAAAATAGATTTTTCTACAAACTAACATAACTAAACAAGTTACACCAGAAATTAGTAGGTATTACTGAATTGTTTAGTTTGAACAAACAAGCAACTAATAAATGTGATTATTTGAATTCAACAGTTTTTGTTAAACGAACGTCATACGAAATAATGAACAGATAAAGTATCCGTTTGCACGCTTTACTTGTGTTGAATCCCGAACTCCACACTGAATAGTTTGACTATAATGTGTGGGACTAAAATTAAGGACATGAGATAGAACCTGGTCAACATGAAAAGCATCATTATACAAGGTACTGAAGAAATGGAAGACTAATCGTTAATGCAGACTACATAAACACGATCATCAGGTAAAAGTTGTTTATTGAAGAATGCTTCACTAGATGCTCGCTGTTCAACATGGGCAACAATCATGAGACGAGATGTTTTATTTGATTGATGTATTAAATGTAAGTGTTTCAACTTCGGGTTAAGTACCATCGTATATGCGATTCTGCACAATAAAAATTAAATCAATTAACAGGTAAGTATTGTGCAATGTTTTACATAGTGCAAGAGTGAACGCCTGGATTCAAAAATTCGTTATAGCTCAATCGAATCTAGGCGATTCAAAGTAAAAGCCTTAGGCTTTATGACAAAGATGTTACTTTTAATCAGCGAGTTGTAGATAATCGATAATATTTCCGAATTTCATAACCTTTTAATGACTTCAAATTACTAGCGAAGTTAGCAATCGTGAATGTGGTTTGTAAAAACTAGCAAACACTATGTACAATAGTCTATACATTATGGCTCATTACAAGACCTTCAGATTTTGCAAAAGTTACATTAAAAAACTTCATGAACGGTTGCAAAGTACCTAATTATAGTTTTTAAACTGATGTGATCGTATAGTCAAAATTTGTCATTAATAATGAATGGATGTACATTTTTTTTCAGGGAAAGAAAGGTGCTGAAGTAGTCAGAGGACCAGATATTGAAATTAAAAAGTTAGATAAAATCTTGTCTTTGGTTGGCTAGGATACTCAATCAAAGGAGGATAAAAATAAGTGGATGAAGAAACTCAACATTTCTTATGTCATAAATTAAATTCATAAACTTAGTGAAAAATAGCCTGAATTATTAATAATGTATCCTAAATTTTATTTGTACAAAAAACTTCTATTCATTTGTTTATTTGAGGGTCTCGTGTGTTGTTATGGGCATGAGGGTGTATGTCACTTCTTGGTTGCTCATATTGCGGAAGGTTACTTCTTGGTGATTTAGGTCGATCAGGAATGGAATTTTTATAGGAAGTTTTAAACGTGTTAGCTTCTCTATTCAAAATGTCTCACCTCAGAAGATGAAATTCCGTGGGGTAAAATGAGGTTTGAAATTTTTAGGGTCGGCCTTTACGAAACCATCCTTCCGTTGCAATAAGGTAGCATCGCTGCAGATGCTGGTTGTTTGAGGGAAACACCTTAACGCCGCCACACCCCTCTATAATCAGCTGATGAGATCCACTACACTTTAAAAAAGTTAACCAGTTTTAAATTCACGACTGTGAGACTCTTGAACAGACATTCTTTGAAAGAAAATCAAGTCTAGACAAGATGATTTGGGCTATTAGTCGCTTAAAAACTTTAAGGGAAGAAGATCACATAGAAATCAAACTACGTATAGCTGCTGGCCATTCAAAACTTTCAATAAACGAGATGGATGTTGAAATATTAACTAGTATCTATAGTACTCGCCGGGCTCAAACAAACATATGTGGAACTGAAACTAACATATTCGTTTGGAAGTGGACGACAAGCTCCTGAAATGCAAAAGTATACCGTACTCATATTTTCCCTGTAAGTATTATAATCGGACAGTAATAATCCAATTTGGTTTCTGGTCGATTTACAAACAACACTAATAATGAAGCAATTACATCTGAATTTTTTAACAATAATGTTAAATTTGCATAGCAACATCAGCTAACTGGGTAGAGCAGTCATATTGAATAATAATGTAGGTAAATCTAATTACTATCCAAAAAGGATTAATTGTGAATAAATTTACCACCAAGCATGGAGTTTACAAATATTGACCATTCGGAGTTTAAAGACCATATTTATCGGAAGACCTATGGAATATATACGTTTTTATCACTTGAACCTATCTAAATCGATACCAATTGATATCCCTGTAGTCCGTTACCAAAGAAAAGTTACCATCGTTGCATGGTGTTTGTGACTGCGCGAGTTTAGAATTAACTAAAAAAATTACGACAGATTTGATTACTATGATCGTAAGATACAAAATTGGTGGCCCAACTGAGAAAATATCCATAGGAACGATAAATAGTTTAGTAATTAAACCATTATTATCTTTACTAGTTATAAGCTCAACACTTAAAAAAACAAGTTTGAGGAATGAGTTAGTACAATTTGTCAATATAGGAAAGAACCGGCGCTCTAAAACTTTTGCTATAAAGTAGTGCAAACCCAGGACAATGAAGTGTAAACAACAAACTGGGCTTACCATCCAAAAATCATACTTCTTCAAACATTGATTCACATAATGCTGCAAACTAATAAATCAAATTTTAAGCACATAAATCACATTCGCCAATTAACGTGGATTTATAGGACTGACTACACCTGAAAGATTAAAAGTAAGAGCATCCGATGTCTCTCGTTACTGAAATGTAGCTCATTTTTTAAGACTAAAGAGAGATATAGACTGAGATAATCATCACTTGGAATGAATAAAAGGAATTTCTGATTATTCAAAAATATCTAAGGCATACTTATGGGTAAAATCAACCCTAACAACAAAAAATTAGCAGGAAATCGCTCTGGAAATGAATATTGACAAAATACCAACATATATATCGATAAAAATATAAAGCATACTGGATTACTTAATTATTACAACAATATATTTATTTTAGTGATAAATATATTTACGTATATTCCCAATTCAATACTCGGCATTACATCAAACCCTTCCTAGTTTTCTTTTCTTCATACATGTTACAAGACTTCGATAACTTACGATAAGTCTCTGTTACAATGCTTAAAAGTATGATCCGACTTAAATAATTTTGACTATTTGAAAGATTCATTGAAGTCAACTATATTGAAAATAATCAGTTAGTCAGATGCAACGTAGAACTTCGTACGTATGTACATCAGTTCATGTTGCGATACCACATCAGCACAGAGATACAATTGTCAATTCAAATCCAATAGTAGAAGTAGTAAAGGTATTAGAAGTAATCAGAGAGGTTAAAATTAGAAGATATTATTCAAGAAGTATGATTCAGTGAGAAAAGTTTAGAAAGTCAAAACTAGAGGCGTTGAAGAATCCAGAAGATTAGGATTTGAGAGAACACAAATAATAAATTCACCGGCGCCATTGCAAACGGTTTTGAGCCATGTCATTCAGGGTCTCTAACCATCGGTGACTTTCGTCTCGCGAACCCCAACCAGGTAGTCGACAATTACCGACATGGCTAAGTCCACTCGTCAGTGACTTCATGGATTTCTGCCATGTTTTGGTTTGGCCGCCCTAGCTTTCTTCCAATCTATTCCTACACTACAAAACAAAGCTCGTCGAGGCAGTCGGTAGTTAGGCATACGCAGCACATGTCCCAACCACCTCAACTGATGAAGTTTCATTACTTCATCTATTGATCTGCCATTCTTACCTAGCACCCGATTCCTAATAACAGCCTTTCTCACTCGGGTGTCCCACGATATACGAGCAATGCTTCGAAGACACCTAGTATCGAAAACCAATAACCTAGGAATATCTACTTAAAAATAATGAAAAAAATGATTTATTCACTTAATAGATTACCTATTTTTTTCCCTAAAATATGAATATGATAATTAGAAAGAAAGTTCTTTCCTAATTAATGAGTTATTTTCTTAATAAAATTTTACTTTATTTTCATTAACTTAGACTATATCACCATGAAGTTAATGCTGAGAGTTGACAATGTTGTAAAAAGTATTACTCTCTCTCTCTCTTTCATTTTATTCTTCTTTGGTTATTCAAAATAGTATTAACAAAATTGAAAAAAAAATATTCATATAAATAAATATAAGTGTACTGTGATGAATCAAGAAAACAAACTGAAAAAAAAAAGAGTAGAATGATGAATACGAAGCTAAAAATATATATATATGTATATATTTGATTGCAATTGTGTACAACACGATATCAATTGATGATTATGTTAAATTGTATCAGAATGAAATAATAAAATAGCACAATTCATTATGTAATTAATACATGAGGAGTAAGTTTTTGTTCTTTGTAAAAAATATATGTCAATACATCTTGTAGAAGATATAATAAATAGAATAGGATCACTAATGTATGCCTGTGTGTGTGTGTATGTATGTATGTTTCATTGAAATAGGCCGTAAATCAGGCGAAAAGAAAATGTCTTTTCTTTCAATAAAAAATACCCCATATGTTTTGCGCTTATATATTGAAGATTGAATGAATAAGCCATGAGTCAATATAACAAAAACTAAGAAAAATTTGTAAATGCACAGAATAATGAAACGTAATTCTTATTCAAACTTAAAGATTTGTTGTGAAAATTAGGAAAAAAAATAAAATGAATGAATGAATGAACAGATATTTCTTGTCATGCAAAGATTGAACACTTGAACAAACTTTAGATGATAACCAAAGCGGATTGGACATGGAATTTATGCATGGTTCAAATGATAACGAAACAATTAATTACTTGTTGTAGTTAGTAGTTTTTTGACTAATTAAAAAAAAGCTTTGATTAAAGAAAATGAACCACTTTATTAAATGATAAAGTCATTACAGGAAGAAAACTATATGTGTGTAACAACCTTATTATTCAATATAAAAGATTTTATGATAAAAATGAAAAACAAAACTTACAAGAGTATAATTTATTCACATAAAAATAATATCACCTTTATCCTTGATTTTGTTTAATGAGATGACCAATTTAGTGAATGTATACAATGTGAATATACAGAAATGGTATATCAACCAGCAAACAAAGTGCTATTGGCTACATATATATGTATATAAGGACAATATAAGCAGCACACAGCAAAAAACAGAGAACAAAGTAGGGCACAAAACATGTGATACAACTGCAAAAATGAATGCTGTATTGTAATGAATCAACAGAGTGTTTAATGTGTAAGTAATTGATGTATGGAAAATATTTTTCAGTTATCTTATTTGTTTACATTTAAGACGTTGGTGAGTTTGTTCAATATAATCTGGGAGAACCATTGCTGATACAAAATCGGCTGACAAATAATCATGACATGCAAATTTCCAAGTCCATAATTTAGCTAATTCTTCAAACTGATACTTATCCCAATCGTACAAAGCACCAATTACTGGTTCCATACAAACACGTGTATGTGGATCAGTTAAAAGGGCTAAAATACTAATTAAAAGCTTCTCTAAACTTAATGCCAAACACCAGTTATGTCTGATTGAATCCAAACCAACGTCACCATGAAAGCTGATATTCGGGTGCAATATACGTGTAAGAAAACGTATTACAGGTGGTCGAAAAGGATAACTATCTGGAACGAGAATAATGACGTGAAAAAATCCACCTTGATACGGTGACTGTGGTGGACCTTCTATACCAGCCAGGAAATGAGAATATGTTTCAGTGTCTAAAGTAATAATTTTTATGCCATATGGTGGGTCAGCGCAAAGGTTTTCAAATTCATGTTTAATTCGTTTATATCGAACTTTTGACGCTTCGATAGGGAATAAAACTGGTAGGCGTAAACGTTCTAAACAAAATCTACAAGTAACACTCTCCATCATATTGAGGTAAAGAAGCCTCCAGCTTTCCACTCGGCAATTAGGATTAAAGAGTGGCCACCGAAATGATACATAAGACTCCCATTGCTGTTCTGATATCTCACTATCAATAACTGCACGACATCTGGATGACGCTTGACGCAGTGACCACAAACATATGTCATCTAACATGAGGAAAACACGAAGCAAAATTTCAGTCGGAAGGTCTTCAAGGCTCGGAGACATACATGAACCACATGATCTGATTTTTTTACTAGAAACCGGTGATAGATAATCAATTACAGGGTAATTTGCATAGGATGGGATAATATGAGATTGTTGTAAGGGGCATGTAGCTGGAAAAATTCGGGTACATGAGGGTCGACATTTGACAAGCACATGATCTTGTGAAGTAACTTCCGAATTGGAATTATTCCAGTTAGCTGCAAATAAATCTGATCCTTTATCTGGTTCTTCATTTCCGCTATCATTGGATGCTTCTTTTTCCTCAAATAAACGATTTTCAGTCATTTGCGGTAAACTAAACTCATAAATGAAAGCATGACAAGATGAGCACACTGGCTGCTCACTACCAAAGTCGTAGTATCCTTCACAAAATTTACAGATTACATTCTAAAAAATATAAGAAATAATAAGGTAAGTATTTGAAAGTCAATAAATATACAACTATTCATTTCCAAGCTGCTCTGGAAGCAGATAATGCTACAGAAGTTATTTTATATATTGGTTGAATACGTTATGAAAACATTTTCCTACTGATGTTGATTTAAGTTAATTAAACAACTTCAATCTCAATTAGAGAGAATTTACTGCTTTTCATGTTCATACTTACAGAGAACGTATGAGTAAACCATTCGAGTTAAGTGTCATCGAGAAAACATTTTGCAGATTTCTTAGTAAAATAATAAAAGATATAAGAAAATTTTTTCTCATCCAAAACAAAACGAAAACAACCACGTACTATATACAAAAGCATGTGAATCGTACATGCATTTAAGTCACTAGAAAAACGACCGATCCGACCATCAAATTCGACAATATTTTACAGTGAAGGGCCGAAACTGTTAGTCTAATAAGTCAGTCAGCCAATTACAACGTAAAAATTGGTACGTACGTACATCAGTTAGAGTTACCAAACTACATTAGCACAAAAAGATCAAAATGTCATTTCAAATCCCATAGTATAGCAGGGTTATGAGGAGCATTGGCAGTAGTCAAAAAGATTGATGACCGAAGACATCGTTCGAGAAGCATATTGCAGTAAAACAAATTATGAAGGAGGATCAAACTGTAATGAGGAATTTAGAATATGAAATTTCGGTATCGCAATACGGTTGTATTCCTTGACCTGGAAGCGGCATTCGACTGCGTCGATCGTGAGCTTCTGGAATAGTGTCTGTCATTAAAAGGAGTACCAAAGAAGTATATTACCATTACATAGGCTCTCTACCCGAACACATTACTAGTCGAGTTAGAGCTTATGGTGAACTGTTGTTGGTCACAATCATTTCCTTTCTACACCTAATAACTCTTCTATCTCCACGACCAACGATTATTTCGTTGCTTTGTCACTTTGCACCGCTAATGCAAACATTTCGAGCCCGCGAAACGTTATTCCTGGTCTCCTGAAAGCCAGCTCTAAACTACATATTGGAGCTTCTAATGTGCAGACATTGTGTCAAATAGGGCAAAAAGTTTCATAAGCCACGACTATGGAATTCCGTGCAATCGATGGGTGTTGCGTCTCCGAAACGCGCATTCAGGATTCGAGTAGCGTCATTCATTTGATCTCACCACGTTAGAATAAAGAACCAGCTCGGTTTACTCTTCGTGTATTTGAAAACCCTGCTGCTGCTTCTCGTAGCCTTGCTGGTGTAGGTATAGCATCGAGTCCTACGGCAGAACTAGCTCTCCTAGACTGGATCTCAGTAGATAGTCTCTTGTGCACCCTCCGACTAAACGGCACAGTAAGGACTCGGAAATATAGGGACACTTGCCGTTGCTTCGTCGTATCTGCACACGTTCCCACTGACTGCAACTCAGACAACATAAAAGATAAGTTTTACAGAAAGCTTTCGGACCTCCAAAAATTTAGGCGCTCTGATATACTATTAATGGCTGGTAACTTTAATGCTCAAGTAAGTAGGCTAAGTGAAAAAGAAAGACACCTGGGTGGATCATGTGGTGTCGCGGCTCAAAGGAGAGATAATGGAGACCATCTGCTGCAGCTATGCTCAGATAAGCGCCTATGTCTAGCAAACACTAACTTTAAACATAAGAAAAAAAATCTCTTGACCTGGAGACCCACAAAGCCAACCCAACGGAGGACCCAACTTGATCACATCGCTATAAGCCATCCGTGAAGAGGCTCTATTGATGACTGCCGCTCATTCTGGAGCACTTGTTTAGAATCAGATTATGCTCTAGTGCGAGCACGTATTTGTTTGAGGCTTGATGAACGTAGGAAAGACACCGCAAGGAAACCTCTTACGGTTCTACTTAATGATAGCTTAGATAGGCATATATTTCAGGAGCAAATGGAAAGGCAGTTAGGAAGCCGTGTAAGTGATGCCCACAGTGAACAAGCTTGAAACGATATCCAAAAAACCACGAAAACAGCAGCGATATCGGCTGGTAAGGTAAACCATAAGGTTAGGGAGAAGTGGTGGATTTTAGTAGCACCTACCGAACTGACAGATGCTCAGAAACTCAGCCCGTCTGGTTCTGAATATGACGAAAAGCGGAGTCAGCGTAGGCAAAGGCTGATAAAAAGACGTCGCACTGATTGCAAACAGTGGTGGGTAGCGAAAGCAAGAGAGATGGAAAAGGCGGGGGTGACAGGCACAAGTAGACAACAGTTCCGACATATCAAGGAAACCGGTATTAGAAACCCATCTGTTAGCGAAAAGGATGTGCTTATGATTCATCCTCAACCAGGGAGATTGGAACGATGGACAGAACACTTCAGGGATCAGTTCAAACGACATTCAGCCACACTTCCGTTGCCAACGATCGCCAGTCAACATGAATGGCAAATTGGTGTAAGTCCTTCAGCTCTTTATGAAGTTGAGAAGGCTATAGGAAATCTAAAACGAGGGAGAGCAGCGGGTTCTGATAGGCTAAATCATGAGATTTCTACGGATGGTGGTTCAGTTTTAGCAGTTAGGTTGACTGAGATCTATGGCAGAATTTCGCAACTAGGCGTAATCCTATCCAACTCGTCTCAATCTCTTATTGCCCCAAATTATAAAAAAACCGAAAGTTCTCTTGTGCCAGTCACAGAGGAATCAGTCCAACTAATATAATGTATAAATTGTTAGCCCTGATAATTCCTTGACGCCCAACTAGAGCTCGTGAAGAACATACTCGGAAACACCAGGTTGGTTTTCGACCTGGACGTGAATGTATAGATCAGATATTCACACTACGTCAAGTCCAAGAACAAAGACACACGTTCTGAAGTCCCACAATAGTAGTATTTCTCGACCTTAAAGCGGCATTCAACTCGGTTGATCGTGAGGTTTTGTGACGGTGTCTGTCGTTAAACGGTGTAACGCATAGGTACATTAACCTTAAACAGGCTCTCTACTCGAACACCCCTGGTCGAGTCAGAGCCTATGGCCAACTGTCATCGGAATTCATTACTTCAAGTGGTGACTCTCAGGGCTGTCCACTCTCCATTCTTGTTTAACTTTCTTAGACATTATCTTCGTCTGAATTTTCTGGAATAGACCTAATACCAGGAGGCTCGCTTATTGACTTAGAATATGCCGATGACATAGTTCTACTTGGTAAAGACACTGACAAAATGAAGAATCTTCTGACTACCCTAAACAACAATGCAAGCATGTTCAGAATGCGATTTTTCCCGTCGAAATACAAAATGTTGCTTCAGGATTGGCTTGTACTTGCATCTGAACAACTGAAAGGGAGTGAATTAGTTGAGCGTGTCGACAGCTTCATTTATCTTAGGAGCCTCATTAGTGCTGATGGCCAGGTGTGACGAAATTTCGGCACGGATACAGAAGACTCGATTGGCTTTTGCCAACTTGCGTCACCTATGGCGTATGTGATATATCCGTCTGCTAACCAAAGGACTAGTTCACTGTGCAACAGTCTGCGCCGTCCTACTTTCTGGCTGTGAAACATGGCGGGTAAGAGAAGATATTCGTAGATTACTGGTTTTCGATCGTAGGTGTTTCCGAAGTATTGCTCGGTTATTTTGCAAATACTGAATAAACAATGCTGTTATTAGGAAACGGGTGCTAGGTAAGAATGTCAAATCAATAGATGAAGTAGTGAAACTTCATCAGTTGAGGTGGTCGGGAAATGTTCTACGAATACCCTACCACCGACTGCTTCGTCGACCTATGTTCCGAGGTGTAGGGGTATGTTTGAAGAGAGCTAGTGGCGGCCAGACCAAAACATGGCAGAAATCCATGAAGTCATTTAAAAGTGGACTGAGTCAAGTCGGTAGGTGTCGACTACATGGTTGGGGACCGCAAGATAATAGTACTCGATGGTTAGAGACACTGAATGACATGGCTCAAAACCGTTTGCAATGGCGCAGGTGAATTCATTCTTTGTGTTCTCTCAAATCCTTAACTTTTTTATTCATCAACACTTTATCGCTATCTTTTAAAGTTTATTTCACTAGATTGTACTTCTTGAATAATATCTTCGAACCCTGATCTCTCCGACTACTGCTAATACCTTTACTACCTCTACTACTATTCGATTTGAATTGACAATTACATCTCTGTGCTGATGTGGTATGGCAATATGAACTGACACACGTAAGTTCGAAGTTCTACGTTGCTATTGATTGATTGATTGTACATGAGGTCATATGTTTGTTGACGGTTTGAAGAAGCATCCGTTAAACGAGCTTTCGTATCCAGCAACAGCACATCACCAACGCCTCCAAGTAGAGACCTAGACATAATTAACAAGCGAAAGAGAAGTATCGGAAACTAAAAACGAAACACTGTCCTGAGTCCTTAAAAGTACGAAGAGTTTCTTACGGAAGTAAGATATTTGTGTGAAACATCTTATCTGGCTAAGATGTCCAGGATTTACCTACTCGAAAAGATAGGCATACTTACGCTATATTATGCTACATTACGTCAATAATTTTGGATTATTCTACCTGGGATTTGTATCGAGACTAGGCTAAGGCAGATAATTTGGGGGTATCCAAGAGTTTGTAATAAAATGAGTAGGACACCTTTGAGACGCAAAGACTCTTAGATAGACAGAGCCATTCCAGTTCAAATTTGAGATCTCAGGCTGATTTTGAAAATCACTCTTGCATACGTTTCAGGGCAATATGAACCCATCAGAGAAAGGAAAAAACACTACTTCTATACAAAAATTAGGCCGTTTTCTAACATATATCTAATAAAATAAAACAATAGCAAATATTAAACATTTTACTAACCTCACTCAGTTTACAGTTCGTCATACTTTTAGCAAATACGTGCAGAAGTTTGGAGACCTCATAATCCGCAGGTTTCAAAACTACCGGACTACATTTACTCACTAAGGCCACTTTCTCCGTTAGTTTTAACAAACAAAATCTAATTTCAATCCGTGAACTGTGCAGAGTATTTTTTGATACATTTTTGTTCATTCAGCTCCTAGAACTATATATGAGTGCTCAAGATCTACACATGAATCCATGTGAGAACAAACTTCCAATATATTTCCTGTAATGATTCTATAAGCTACGAATATCCTTATGAGTATGCTGGCGGAAGATAAATTTAGATTTACAAATTACACTTGCCCAACATACCAGTGCTTGATATATTTCCAATATCTTTTTCACGAGGTAGTGTTAGGAAACTGATTTCTTTGCGCTCGATTCTTGTTCTTTTAGTACGTTCCTGGTGTTTGGTAGTTTCCAATGAATGGAGGTCAAGCCACGAGACTGTCCATTTCTAGTCAGTTGACAGTTGGCTGTGAGTTTGTATGTCTCGTGATTTGAATGAAAACGTTTGTTTCAGGGCAGTAGGGTCTCTGGATACCGGCAGCTATCACGTTACCAAGCCAGAGTTCAGTTAGTTGCAGTGTGGATAATAATAAGGAGAAAAGGCTGATGATCATTATAGGATTCCCAAACTAATCGAATAATAATTTAGTTTACTGATTGGTAGTGAAGAATTTGCAAGAGGACAGAAGTGTGTGGGAAAGGAAACAGAGATAATAAACGAGATAGATCAAGTTAGTGATCTGAAGAAATGTCAATGATAACAGCTAGCAGGCCTCAAAATAATTACTAGGCACAGCTGATTTACGAGGGAGATGATAATCTGTGAGTGCGTGCTTATCAAGTCTCTTCGTGAAGCTGTTCGCGCAGGGGGCTGATTTCACCTTGGTTGAAAGAGCATTCCTACTTGCAACGACTCCTAATAAGAAAACATGTGCACGAATCTGAGTATTCGCTCTTCGAGGATTGCCTCGAGGGAGCGGCGGTGATTCCTTTACATTATGCTCACGTTGGAATGATTTGGCATGCTTGATATGTTACACGCCATTATCAGGCTACTTCTGATTCCCCTGTAACTCAAGGAGAATAATCCCAAGTGCTGGTGTCGATCTTGGTAAGTTCTATTTTCCATTCCTATCACCTATTTTGTTGCTCGTCTCTGAACTCGATTCAAGAGACTTATGTCAATTTTGAAGAGATGGGGTGCGACGACGTTTTGAACGTCAAGGTTCGGGCCCTCATATGTCTTAAACAACATTAAGAATAACTCTAAGGTGATAGCATCCAGTCATCTTTGCATAAAATGCAGAGTTGTATTAATCTTGGCTGCGTCCTATTTATATTTCGAACTGGTTGTAAAATCCAATTTGAAGGCCTTGTTTTAGGAAAATGCCTCCATATATATATATATTTGTAATATGTTCTTACTGACTCTTTCTGTGCTACATTTTGGTACTCAGTTTAATCCCATTTTGTGATGTTAATATTTGTATTTGTTATAGTTTCTATTTTTCTACCTTTATTGGAGTTTCTGTTTTCTACTGAACTGTATTATGCTGTTCAAATTGACACCTAATTATTGCGTCAGCCGTATCGAAGTCGATACCTTGGGTGGCGAAGCTTGAATCTGGACTGGACCTATACGGAAGCATTCTTCCAGAATTGGAAACGAACAGTGTTAAGTCTCTTAAAAAACAGTGTAATATTGTTTAGGTAACGATATATACCTTTTAATTAATAAGAGAACCGCTTCTTACCCAGATAAAGTTTTTTTTCTTGTTGGGATACTGGGAAAAGCAAGTGTCTAACTTCTACAACTGTTCTTCGGAATTCAGAAACCACTGAAAAACTCCAACACTGGTGTCTAGACTTTCTATGGTTATCAGATCGTTAGTGGATATCAGGAACTGAAATGGACCTACGATCGTCTGCTGTGAAATCTGGATGTTGAGAATCGCCAACTGGTGTGCACTCTACGTACCTAGATGTGAAACTTTCTATTCTCAGGGCAGTTTCTGAGCCAAGATAGAAGCGGTTCAGTGAAGCCCATTTCCGCCACCTTCGCAATTAGGTGTGCATGGGGTACTGTGTTGAAGGCTTTTTCAAAATCTAGAAATATTATGTGCACCAGTATTTTTCGGTCCTCTCGGTTGTCCAACTGCCCCATGCTATGAGAAGTTTTGATGTGCACAAACTGACTTTCCGAGACCCGCGTTCAGCTTCATGGAGGATTTTTCCTATTCATGTACTCATTCATCTGTTTGTTCAATAGTCCTTTCATTAACTATTGATAGTAATGTGACTGTTATGCAACAGGCCGGATGCTTTCTATCTTCTGGTCTGAAAGTTGAAGAGAGAGTAGGTTCTTTCTATTCAGCTGGTAGTTGATGTGATTCCTGTGAATGCTTGAACAGGTCACACATCGGTGAACTGACAGCTCTTGCACACACTATTGTCGCATTCTGGTAACTTTATTAGTCGCAAGCGTCTTAGTTTTCTCAGTACTAGGTCAGGAGTAAACAGAACCAAGTTTGAGTAGTACTTTGAATATGTAGCTTCCTCATATAATCAATCAGTGATGTTGGTATTGGTGATCTCAAATATTTCTAGGTAGGTATGATCTCAGCAATTTGGACCTTTCAGAGCACATCGACCCTAGTTTGTAGGTTTTCTCTTTGTCATGAACCTAAATAGACGCTTTGGGTTGGTCTGCATTTTGGCAGCTAGCTTCATCTGAAAGCGCCTCCCACCAATTCGATCTTTTGGCATAGCACTAGTTTCGAAATGCCAAGTAGGAACTATTGCCGAATCATCTAGGGAGGCCTTCTGCTTGTACCAGACCCTTATTTTCGGTTTAAGCCAGCGTTCATTGCCTTGTTTAGCCCAAGTTCTCATTCAGTGTGTGTGGCGGACATTGTTTAGGACTGCATCATGGATGTCTTTCAGTGTTTGCAAGTTATCATCTACTGTTAGCCCGCAGCATTCCCGTGGCCTTAAGGCATGTAGAAGATTCCTTCTCATGCGCACGTAAATTGCAGCAATGTAGCAAAGGTGAGACTTGTTTCGCCTTGCCTGAGCATTTCGTTTTTTACCATGTTAAACGAGACTGTGCCATGGTCACTAATTCCTATCGTTGTGTGGACGTGAACACTCTCAGCTAGGAGCTGGTCATTCGTTAACAGATAATGTAAGTTTGAGGGTTTTCTATCTATAGTCCATCTAGTGGAAACGCATACATGCTCAGTCATCCTAGAACTTTACTGGCTGCGCCAATTCGTCTCTGGGACCAACCAGTAAGATTTGTATCATATTCTCTGAGATTTGGAGGTGGACTGTTGAAATCTCCAGCTGTGAGTATTCGATCAAATCCTTGGAGCAGCAGTTGCAGCACTGCCATAGTCATCTTATCTTTCTGGGTCTTAGTACCCGAGAGGGACCGGGTAATCCCCGAATTCTAGTATTTCGTGCCATTTCTGTGGATTCAACACCGACACGATGCCGTAACCTCGGTTGATTGGGTCAGTGTGGTCTTGCGGCTCCTAAACGGATCTTGACACATATATGGTGCACTCTATTGCTTCGCAAGTGCTATGCCTTGCAAAGCACACTTTGTTGTCTGCAAAGTCAGGGGTAGCCATGTTTCAGTTGGGATCTGTGTGAGGTCACATATTCTTGATTTCTAACAGCCTGACCCATAGTCCTCTCTCGTTGCTATAGAGGCACTTGATGGTTTGTCTCATCACCTGGCGCACCTTTGCAACAATAGTCGTTGCTGGATTTCCAAACAACTTGTTCAAACCGAGTTGGCCAGTTATGTGATATTTAAATCTGCTTCGTGGATGACGGTCAACCCGAATTGTTAGGTCAGTTTTTGGCTGTTCAGGTGATGGAAGTGCACCTGCTTCATCTGTTTTTTCGGAAATGCTACACTCCTATATTTTCTTGTGCAGGTGGTGGAAAGAACAATGGTATAATACTATAGTTTTTAGCGAGTCTTAGTGATTTTGGTGGGGGATGGTATTAATACGCTTATCCAAGCTACTAGAATTATAAAACTATTCCACAGATAAAGATCTGCCATGAAGTGATGACCTAATCCATAATATCTTAAGTGGAAGCCATATCTTTATCTACAGTGACCCGTTTTATTATGACTATATTATCAATTTAAGACTTACGTAGAATATACATAGTGTAAGGACGGAATAACATAATTATTTTAAAAATCCGTAGCGGCGATACGGTAGCATAACCGAACCCCAGGTAACTACGACTGAAAACGAAATAACCATGTTTATGTATAACAGACCTTTGAGAGTGACATCATATAACCATGACATCCGGCAGAGATCTATTACAGGGATCTATGGAACAGGCGATAGTTAAGCAGTGCTCTGTTGATATATATACAATAACCTCGTTGCTGCTTTTCTTACCTCTCTCTTTTTTGTTCCTTTTCAGAACCCTATTCTCAGTGGAACATCCATAGTTCCAACAGGCAAGGTAACAGCCTGTATCAATCTTCTTCCAGTTGACATTTCCCAATAAATTCACACTTGAATTCTTCAGACCGCTCAAGAACCCTCCTATGTACCTTACCTATTTGTACTCTTCTATTGAAAATGTGCCTTTATCAAACTATTTCTCTCAGTGACATGGTGTAAGTGTGCTATCAGAAACAGACTCTATTATCTGATCTATCTTCGATTACATTTACAGTAATAGTAGCAGCATCTGTACCAATTTGATATAGCCTGTAAACTGGCATGCGTCATGTGACATTGTTATTTGATAATAAATAGATAATTATTAAATTACCATGCTAGCTTTACGAATTTGTGATAGAAAGTAAGCTACAGAAAATAGGAGTTTGGCAGTTTCTTAACGTAGTTATTGACTGATATTGAGACGAATGATTAGTCTACTGGAGTGACAATGAACGGCATTAATTTTCTGTAAAAGCCATTTACAAATAGTCAGGTTACATTGGGTATACCTGAGTTTGTCAAATAGTTTTAGTTGTCACTTAAAAAACCTCAAGTGATGGTAACTCAAGCCCGGTGATT